GGAAGATGCGGCGGCCGGCGGAGCGTGGGGTTTGTGTAGTGCGGGGGGTGGGGGCGTAGGGTTTCTGGGCACGGTTGCGGGCTGCGGGGCCGCTCCGCGGCCGTCCGATCGGGGGGTTCGAGGAGCGGGGGGCGACGCTCAGCCGTACGATATACAGGAGTTTGGGGAGCGTGGGCGATCTGGATTTCGAGATTCAAATCTGCGCGGACTCTCTGCCTGCCTGTTGCGGTGCTGCCAGGGCGGCGGATCTATCATTGTCTATCGCGTAGGCACGTGGCGCTATGATTTCTTCCACTCAGTGCTTTTTTTTTCCCAGTCTATCTAGAGAAAAAAAATGGGAAACGTTTACAGCCGGGGCACCGGCCGAAACTTCGGCCGGTCCACTCGCTCACCCCGCGCGTAGCGCTAAAGCAGGAGAGACACGTCATCCCGCGAGGGCCCGCACACCACTCTGCTTTCTTATCCTTTCCAGCGCGGCTGCTGTCCACACACACCACATCTCCTTTCTTTTTTGCTTGGATTTCCCACGCCGCTGCTTCTGCCTATCTATTTTTTCTCAGACGCCATTGCTGTAGAGTTGCTGCACGGGGCGCCCTCACCCACGAAGCGCGGCGCCGCGGGAGTTGTTGCTGCTGCAAGGGATGCCATCGCCATGGCCGAACGCGACGGGGCTGAGCACCGGCGCTATTACGACAGGGGGCCATGGTCTGCGAGCTCACAGGCCAGGGCGGCCATGGCTACGAGCTCGAGGCATGTTACTACAACTCCAGATTTGCTTCCATGTTTGTTTTTGCTGGAACCAGTGTACTAATTTGTTACCATCGTCTTTATTTTTTGCTGGAACTAACCAAATTTTGCTGCCATGTCTTTTTGCTGGAATCATTTTTGTACCACTTTTTTGCTACAACAGTTTTGGTTTTTTGCTACTACCGGCACTGTCGTTTGTTACATCCTTTTTCATGAGATTGTCGAGACCCTGCGCTTGTGTGTTTTGCTACAACCTTGTACTGTTTTTGCTACAACCTTCTACATTTTTTGCTACTACTGGAGAAGCCCCTAGCTGGACCACAAGTTATTTTTGCTACAACCGTTTTGTGTTTTGCTGCAACCAGTGTCAATTTTTGCTACCACCGACTTCTTTGATTTTTCTGGAACCAGCGCTCGATTTTTTATTTTTGCTACCACTAGCGTTTCGATTTGCTGGAACAAGCTTCAATTTTTGCTACCATCAGGTTTTTGGTTTGTTGGAGTGTCGTCGATTTTTTCTAATTTTGCTACCAACGTTTTATTATTTGCTGGAACCGTCAAGAATTTTTGCTATGGCCGGTGGAATTTTTTGCTGCGACTGGCAAATTAAGGATGAGGAACAACACGAGCTCTACAACGGGTGCTGCGGCCGGTGACGTGAGGCTCCGCGAGCCGCGGGGGGCCTCGCCGGAGATGCGCCGCGGGGGCGTTGCTGGAGCTGGGCCTCGCCGGAGATGCGCCGCGGGGCTGGAGCTGGGCCTCACCGGAGATGTGCCGCGGGGGCCTTTGCTGGAGCTGCGCGGTGCTGCGAGCCGCGGGGGGATCTCACCGGAGATGCGCCGTGCTGCGAGCCGCAGGGGATCTCGCCGGAGATGCGCCACGGGCCCGAGGAAGAAGAAGCTGGGGCGATTTTTTATTTTTTTTGGCTCCAGATCCAACCGCCGCGCGGCTCGCATCGAGCGGCTATGGCTGGACCGGCCGAAAGTTTCGGCCGGTGCGCCGGCGCCTAGTGGTGCCCAAAAAAAATAGGGCAAAATTGCCCCCTGGTCTCATTACCACGACACCGAAAAGTGACCATCGGGTTCTCCCATGCAAGCACAGGTGTCAGAAAAACATACTTTCTCCGCCCGGAATTAGTCGTGCCTCAAACTAACGTGTCCGGAATTAGTTGTGCCTCAAACGAACGTATCTAACACGTGTCTGGACCGAGGGAGTATATATAAGACGTTTTTTCAGTTCACCCCTGAGAGCGCAACATCAAGAGACGATCGTGTTTGGCCAGTTTATCCCTGCTCAAAAGACGACTGTCGGCAAACGGCCAGAGGAAAACCTGTGACTAATCTGGGAGGAATTCCCAGTCTCCAGATGAACTGAACTAAGAGTGTACATGCATAATTCCCCCTACAGTTGACAAGGTACCGGACAAGAGGAGTGCAACATCCACTTCTGAGCTAAAATGAGGTTTCTTGACTCTATCTAGCAAACAAAAAAAAACTGTTCATCATATCGGCATGCTAAAGCTTCCATGGAAGGTGAGTCGGACTCGGACGACATCACCACCCCAAACATCGGACACAGGATGGTGTTGCTCATTGCAAGTATAGTACGGGTCAAATAATTTCATCCAGTGCTAACAAGTTCCTTAACTCCTCGCTCTGAAGAAATGACGTGTTTAGTCTGTATAAATCATGTCCAGTACAATGCTGACAATATCTTTATGCATGTTAGATAGATGGTCTAACAGATCTCCTCTCCAAAAGAAACAAAAAAAGAGTAATAGACGAGTGACCCGGCCAATAAAATCTTCAGCTACGAGCTCTAGCCTTCTAGGTGCTCCGTCTGCAGTGCCTTCGCAACTCCGCCGAAATATAGCACGGTGCTCCCAGCAGGGCCCCGAAGCAGCTAAATGGACGAGGTTCTGTAGACAGCAAACGCCATGAGAGCCGGTATGAAGTAGAAGAGCACCGGAGAATGGAGCAGAGGGTCCATGGCAAAGGCCTTCATAAGAGCTCTACACAGCTGCAAGATTGTCAAGGCGTCATCAGTATCTTCAGAGTTGCAAAAAATAAGAAAAAAAAACGCAGTCACAGAAGATTTGCATCGACTGAAAGGAAATAATAATACCTTCCAGTGTTTCCACAGAACCACCAGGCAAAAAGCGATGAGGATTTTCCTTATCCAGCGACCGCTCCACAAGCTATCACGCCCTACCTCTCTCCTGCTCTTTTGGTGAGGATCATCTTTCTTCTTTCCTGACTGTGAGAGGTAGTGTTCTCGGAATGCGATCCTCTCGGCAGCCATCGCGGCGAGAATCGCAATCATCGGTAATACCACGAAACAGAGATGAGGTAGAACGATGACCATGACGTCTGGAGTGCCGGCATGGAAAGTTTTCGTGCCACTTTTAAGAGCCCAACCTCTGAATGTCATGGATGCAAGGCTGCTGTCCTCTGTTACAGGGTGACCAGAAAACCAAGGGAAGACCAACAGATAGATTATATACACCAACAGCAAAGACCACACAAGAACCATCCTGGACAGCTCAACAAAAAGCCAGATAAAACCACCAAGTAGATACTTCAGTGATGTATACTGACCACCGTCCGCACGCAGATATGTGTACACAGATTGTTGATCCTTAAGTAGCACTACTGAAGCTCGTGGCACGAGAAGCAGTGTGAAAATCAGAGCAAGAACGCACTGCAGTGCGGGGTGATATACCGACGCCCACTGGATGCCCATCACGAAAAATTCCTTCCATGTCCAGTTAACTTCTGCAAACAACCCATTCACAGAGAATGGCCTCAACTGGCTGACGCTAATGTCACCTGTTATATCCATCGCTTCGATTTGCAGCCAGTACCGATCTGGAGAAGGATCTGCAAATGCTCTCCAGTTCCACGGAATTAAATACATATCTCCTCTAGAATCATTGGCACTCACTCTTTTCATTTCGCTGTCGAATACCACTTCAAGGTTTCCTGGCCTTGAGTCATATATCTTTGCTGAGACAGTTACTATCTCATGTCGAGAGAATACAAGCGCCCTCACCGTGTCAAAAGTTGAAGCTCCCATGGCGTGACATTTGAAATCACGAGGAGCAGATGTTCTCTGCATAGATCTCGAGTCCAGAGGGAAGGTAGCTAGTATAATTACACTTTTTGAACCTAACCTGAAATCTATGTCAGTAAAGGAGACAAATCCATCATCAATTGCTAATATCCTCATACTTCTACTCCTTTTCCAATCGCCAATCTCCCACTCCCAGAACTCCTCAACAGGTGCTGCTGCTTCAGAACAGTTCTCTTCAGCACTCGGGATTGCATATCCTTGGTGCATGTTAGACTGGTAGTAGTGTTCATACAGTGATGGTTCCTGAGTTGCTCGATGATAGTAACGCTTCAAATTCTTGCCAAACCTTGTGTGAAGATGTCCACACAAGTATGCTGCTAATGAGTGCTTTAGAAAGACATCCTTGATATTTTTTCCTGATTCTGTCAATGCTGAGAAAGACATCGGGAAGTGCCCAACTGTAATTTTTGTGACTGGAGCCTTGTTGAAGTCAGTGTCCCACTGCGACAGTGATTGGTCCAGTTCTATAAGCTGCTTGTCAGTTGGATGCCCAAATAAATTGGTTGGGCCCCTAAGTCCGATCTCCATTGTGCTATCGAAGCCAACAAACAGATGCTTCCGGCCATTATTCTGCAGATCCATCCACAATCTACCATATGTTATGCCAAGCATATTCAGAAAATGCAATCAAAACTAATCATTTGCAGTACATTTAATGAGAAGACGCTAAAGAAACAATAAGCAACGGGATGTATATAAGAAGCACTGACCTCCAAAGTGATGCTTTGCACGCGCCCCTGTCGTCTTAGGTTAGCATTGATGCTATATTTCTCGTAGAAGTCATAGTCCCCACCAGACACAGGTACACCAAAGCTATCATGGTTTCCTCTCAGATCATAGAATTTTTTTCTTGGAAGCTTGCTACTCTCAATGACATCCTTCATCGTACTACTATATTCCATCCACTCCACCTCATTTTGCTTCATTGTAAGCAGATCTTTGCTTTTCCCCTCTAATCACAAAATAAAAATAGCACTTGAGATAAATCCCAATACATAATCAGTTATAAACTATTTGGCATATGGACACCTTTCGAAATGAATGCAGCTGGTTTCACGTCTTCCAAAATTAGAAAGTGGTTAGTTGGTTGAGGTTTTGAGGGCAGTGAAGATCAGCTGTAGTGCTGATTGCAACTGCCTAGTTACAAGCGAACAGGTTGGAACCAGAAAAGCAAGCAGCTGTTTACTCAAGTAAAAATTTCCGATCATTTGTTAGTTATTTTATAAGTTCGCCAGTAGTCCGTGCCTTAATGCATGTGATATTAAAAGAGTCCGTGACAACTGACAACAAATGACTATGTTGATTGTGGTTCTATGTCCGATTTTTGCAACTTCGAACTTTAGGCCTTTATTACTCAGTCGCCAGCTTCTGACAACAAAGCACTTTTGCTCCTATTCATGTCGAACCTGGACTCGCTGTCCAGCTTGCCGATATTTTGGGATGCAAAGTGGCATCCTTCCCTCAATCTTACCTCGGTCTACCTTTGTCCACCCACAAACTCAATCTGAAAGACTTCTTTTTCATCATAGATAAGATCGACCGTCGTCTAGCTGGGTGGCGAGGGGTACTTCTATCTCTTGCCGGTCGTGCCATTCTGGTTCGTGTGGTCCTTAGGGCCTTACCAATCTACGCGATGTCTGCTCTACTGCTCCTGGTGGGCATTGTCCAGGACACCGATAAACGTTGTAGGTCCTTTTTTTGGGCGGGTCAGGAAAAAGTGTCTGGTGGGCAGTGTAAAGTGGCTTGGGACTTTGTTTGTGCGCCGTTCTCGCATGGGGGTCTAGGTTTCTCCTCTCTTCAACACTTAAACTCTTGCCTTCTTCTTTCCCATCTAAACAAAATTCACTCGTACATTGCTTCTAGGGGTAACTCTCATCTTGCTCTGAAATATGGATGGTCTGATACCCGTGACCTTGATTCTCCGCATCCTTTTGAGTCCAACGTTTGGCATGATATCGCCAAGGGGCTAGAATTCTTCCGTTCCATAACTAAGGTGGATATTGGTAATGGTACGACAACCGCTTTCTGGCTAGATCTATGGTTTAACGGCTCCACTCAAAACCTTGCAACAATTTTCCCCGCTCTTTTTTCTCATACTCTCAGACCCGCGGCCACTGTCGCACGGGTGCTAGGCTATCCTGCCTTGAACCTTGACCTGGCTCCTCGCCTTACTCATGCCGCCGAACTCGAATTGGGAAACCTTCGCGCTATGCTTGCATCTGTTTCCTTGAATTTGCAGGTGATGGACAAACGAACGGGACGTTTTGATGGCAAGCCTATGACTTGCAAATCGGCCTACAGGGCTGTTTGGATCACCAAGCCAATTGACCCCTTCGCAACGGCCATTTGGAAGAACTATGCACCCAACAAATGCAGAATTTTTCTATGGCTAACACACAAAAACCGGCTATTCACCAACGAAAGACGATTCAAAAGGGGGTTAACAAACTCCGCCTGCTGCCCCTTCTGCCCGGATACAGAATCAATCACTCACCTGCTTCTGCACTGCCACCACCTGCATCCGTTTTGGGAAGAGCTAAATTCAGTTACTGCCACGCTACCGACGGACCTACACCAGCTATGGGGACAGGGCCTATCCAACAAACCTCGCTCCACGGTGATCATTGCTATTCTGTGGAATATTTGGAAAAGAAGAAATGCCAAAGCTTTTCGGAATGAAATTCAACCGATCAACCTCGTAGCCCGCTCGGCTGCCGACGACCTCATGCTTTGGTCTAATAGATGCTCCAATGAGCAAGTTCTGCACCTTCTTCGAGATTGGAGTACCATGTTGTTCCACTTATCTATGAGATTGTAGCCTTTTGATTTGTACTCTCAACCCCCCTTCCCTGTCTCTGCCTTGTAAATGTACTCTTTTATCTATTAATGAAATGGTTCAGGTCGGCGTAAGCCCGCCGTAGCGCCGTCAAAAAAATTACTCAGTCCCCACAGTTACAGTTACAGTTCATGTTGGGTTGTAACAGGCCTGATACTGGATTCTACTTAAACTGTGAGTTCAGTACTTAAATTTTCAACCTATCTGGTTTTAGCATGAACCGAACGGAAAAGTACCCAACTGCCTCCACTGTTAATGCTGTATCTCACTATCAACGCAGCTCCTTAAACTGTGATTGCAATACTGAAATTCAGTTCAATACCATCGTAGATACAGCGGTACACTAGAAGGTTCTAGCAGTGTACTAATTATAAATGTAATACGGAGTAGATTTTAGATAAAAGTTTCTGCTCCTAGGCACCATCAATTACAGTGCCTTAACGAACCACTCATCCATTTACCACATTTGCTAAAACTAAAGCCTCATCAGTCTCTGAATTCTTTCTGAACTATACCCACGCGCCAACCAAGTTCTACCGAACATCAAACATCGTATCATCCATTCACCCCGAACACGGGGAAGGATCAACAGAAGGAAGGAACAGGAAGGGGGCGATAGAGGGGGGATATGTACAACGCACCGGTGAGGTCGCCGGTGATGAAGACGAGGTCGGGGTTGACCATGGCGAGCGCCGGGCCGACGTATCGCCGGAAGTCGTAGGCGCGCTCCGGGTGGTGCACGCTGAAGTGGAGATCCGAGAGCTGGGCCACCCACACGACCCCCTCCGGCGCGCCGGAGACCTCCGCCACCGCCCTCTCGTCACCGGCGACGGACCACGGCGCGGGAGACGCCGCGGCGACGAGGGCTAGGAGAATGGGGAGCAGCCGGTTCCCGCGCGGACCCATGGCGAAGGCGCAGACGAGGGCTCGAGGAGGGGAGCAGGACGAAGAGGCTGCAGTTTACGCTATCAATGACCAGAGAGAACAGCGGAATACGTTTGCGTATGCCTGATTTTTTTTCGTGGTAAATTACAAGACTGAAAAGATAGGATAATCCTATGCAAAATACCAGCACCTGTTCCTCTTCTTCGACACCATCAAAGCGGCCATCAAAGGGAAAAGAAACAAATCACCTCTTCACCCGAGTTCGACGCGGCTCCATTGCTAATCTGCAGCTTTACGGGCCTCAAAAATAGTTTGCCAGAAGTAAAACCATTGCCGTTGAAAGAATCACGATTTTGTTATACAATTTTACGACTTAATGATCCAAACGAACCCCTATGATTCTATGATTTTAACTCTTAGAATCTACGTTTCTACGATCCTGATAGCGAAAATTCTATGATTTGCGATCCTATCATCAAAGCTTCGATCCAATTCAAAATCATAATTTTGACAACCTTGTCACACCATCCATGAACCCTAACACAGCCAATCTGAATGATCGACAAACACACGATGCCATCAACTTTGAGACGCCGTCATAAAGGGCACCGCCGGTGTGGGAGTGAAGCTGAGGCAGATTTATTCGTCCAGGCGCCGCTCCCACCACCCCAACGACGCACCACGACCTACAAATTCAAAACCTAACTACAAGCGTAGGAACGGGGTCCTCCCCTTTCTCCTGCCGCCGGAGTAGCCAGAGGGAGAGAGGGCCAACGCCCTGGTAGGCTGAGATCGGAGGAAGAAAATTGCCTCCCTAGTCGCCTAGTGTGGCGGCGGCTAGGGTAAGGAAGACGTACGGCGCCTACGTATGCCTGAATTTGCCCTCAAGCGACGGTACACGAAAGTACGTCTTTGTTCGCTCCAAAAAAAGTACATCTTTGTGAGTACTATACATATCGCTCATGTTGAAAAGAATATACGAATGCACAACCTTTTGTGTATCGTGCAATTTCCTCTCTTGTGAGTCTTTTAGTATAGAAACTTTGAAGCACTCAAGTTCTACAGGAAATTTTGTAACTATTTGATTCAAAGGATTTAGAAAAGAATTTTGGAGGATTCTAGTTCTTCTGAATTTTGGAAGATCAAATGGCCATATACACTTTTGTACTCCTCCCGTCTCGAAATAAGGGTCTCAACTTTAGGAGGGAGTAGTATTCAATATGTCATGACACCCTATAGCCATTCATGTGTTTTTCCTATTTTCTATGTTCAAAATAATCATGTGGATCAAAGATGCTCTTTCTTTGATAAAAATATATGATCATGCACAGATGAAATTATTATGGAATATCCAAACTAAACCCATAGAATCACATGAGCCGTACTCCGTGAAGGATAATTAGTGGTTACACAGGTTATACGCCCGTGCCGACGTGACTAGTGAAAATTTGATGACAATGATAAATACCACAAACGATAATGAGTGGGAAGTGTTGGAGCAAGAGAGGAAGGACATATTATAGACAACGATAGACGAGATAAGGCAACAAGGGTATAGAAAGTGATGAGGTGTCGGACATAGAGGAACAATCGGGAAGGAAGAAGGGCGTTCGCTCCCTAAGGCAACGCGACGAACAACCCATCACGACATGTAAGAGCATCTACAATTGGACTTCTCAAACATCTCATATACATATAGGCGGACGACCCGGTCAGTTATAAGTCACAAAATTGTGACCCAGTCGGGCTCCTCAAACCGACCTTATATGTCTGGGCTGACCGGCAACCCCATATCTATTCATATCTAGGGTGGATATGGGGAGGCCCGGATGTGCCTAGGCACGTTTGCCATGCCGGATCGATAGACAAGAGCCACCACAAATTCCACCAAATCACTCTGATCTTGTCGGACCAATACTTTTCCTCCCCTCTCTTCTCATTCGTTCACGCTGGCTCTTGGGGATATGACTATTGGATATGACCCGCCCGAAGGGGCCGGGTTATCCTAATGGCGGTTCATAAACCAAGCCCGTGAATCTGTTGAAGATGGCAGTTCATGTAGTAGGTTTGTTAAAGGGCTCAAATGTAGCGACCCGACCTCAGATGGTCAAGTCTCTGTGCTTCAGTGTCATCCCTGGATCGGTAATACTGACACACACAGTACTCGAAGGATTTATAACAGAGCAGCAATCACACACTTATTACATCGAATGTCTCCAAAGAGAACTTATTACAAGAATATGGCTTAAGGTCATCTAATACGATAACAACGGAAGGCTTGGAAGATAAGGTGAGTCCATCAACTCCAACGGCATAGCTGAGCTGCACGGCATCGACCTAATGAACCTTACTCCTCGTCTGAAAAGTCTGCAACATAATACGTTGCAGCCCGAAAACGGGTCAGCACATGGAATATGCTGGCAATATAACACAGTAGAGCAGAAACGGAATAAAGCTATCACTACATGCATATATGGCTGGTGGAAAGCTGTATGGTTATAGTTTTTGCGTAAAGCCAATTTTTCCCTACAACAAAGGAATAGATTTTAATTTAACTATCATGGTGGTTGAAACATCATTGAGAAGGTACCCCCAACTCAATCCCAATTAAAGTGATTAACAACCCAACAATATTAATTAAACATGGTGAGATACATGTGACAACCCAAGTACTAGATACTCAATAATTGTCCATAACCGGGGACACGACTAACCATGATTAAATTGTACACTCTACAGAGGTTTGCACACTTTTCCCCACAAGACTCGATCGCCTCCGTTGGAGTTCTCGCACTACATGGTGTTTGAGAAACGGATGACCGAGACACAATCTTTCAGAAACGTTAACTCTCTACTCCGGGTAGACCATACCAAACCTACAAAACCCACTACCTGCTGATCTACCTCTTCAAGAGCTTCACGTAACTTACTCAACTATGCTAGAGCCCATAATAGCTTGTGGTTGCACACGGAAGTTTCTAGCATGAATCATCTCGGTTCCCTTTGAGCCTGGGTGGCGGTCCATAGGAAGATCACACGGGTACCCGGGGATTTCCAAAAAAATACAGACAACACTGGGTTTCCCAGGTGCCTCAATACACCCAGTTGTTTGATTAAGTTGCCACCTTAAGTTGAACCGTTAATTAACAATCTCACATCTGACATGAGTTTCACTCAAACCCAAACCACGTCTACGAGCATAGCATAGCAATATAAGCAATACGTAGAAGTAACTCCCAAGGGTTTGGATATAACAGGGCAATAGGTTCTACCTCAGCAACTACTTCCCAACCCACAAGTTAATGACATCCTAATCATGCAATGTTTGAGGATTGGAACTAATGCATAAAAACTGGGTAATAATGGGATATGATCAAAGTGTTACTTGCCTTGCTGACGATCCGCGAATCCTAGAGACTCGTAGTAACACGCTTCGCACTCCGAGAATTCTATCGCAAGCAAACAATAACATACATAAGTAACAAGCAACGATGCACAAGCAAAACTCAAACAAGAGAGGTTGACCAGAAAGTTCAAATTAAGAACTCCGGTACGCAAAAAGAATCAAATCAAACGGAGCAACGAAACTCAGACGGCGAAATAAAGAAGCTTCGTTTACTATTCTGAAACTAGGTCAAATTTTACAGTAGAGAAAACTTGTTTGAGTTGGTTAAACAGAAAGAGGGTTTCGAGACGAAACTCCAGGCGCTTGAATCGCCTGATTCTGATAAACGAGCGAAAAGATAAATAGAAACTAAGATCGGATCAGAAATCGCGATAAGAGAAAATCGCGGAATAAATCCTATAAAAGAAAACTCATGAACAGACTAACGAACGAGCGTTCGTTAGTTGTAACTAACGGGCGAGGAACCGTTCGTTAAAACGAACGTTCGGACAAACGTCCGCTAACTAGAAGAACCGAGAAAAAAAACCGACGAATCCGAAAAAACCGGATCTAGGGTTTCTAAAAAAAACCGAACGGTCTTTATAAAAAAAACCGGCGGCGGGGCGCGGCGGCTACCTCCCACGAGA